GTTTAATCTTTGATGTGAATTAAAGTATTCGAGTGTTAATGAGCTTCAGAGATGCTTTCAGGTGGATCTCAGTGCAGAGCTAACATACCTGGCGACACACCTGTTTAGCACCCAGATAGATGAGTTGTGCTAATCATCTCTAAACTCAGAAACAAAGCAGCATATTCCCTAAAATACTGAGCTACTCTTGAACATTTTGTTTGTTTTAAATCGGGTAGGAAAACACTAGGATTTATTAAATGCTGCCTAAGTACAGCTCACAGATTATAGATTCAGTCAACAGGACAAGATGAGGAGCAGAGACCAGTTATCAATGACCCTCTATCGTTCCCTCTCTGCGCAGCGATAAGAACCACATGCACTTTGGTGCCATCACGTGTGCCATGGGGATCCGCTACAAGTCGTACTGCTCCAACCTGGTGCGCACACTCATGGTGGACCCCTCTCAGGAGATGCAGGACAACTACAACTTCCTGCTGCAGGTGGAAGAGGAGCTGCTCAAGGAGCTCAAGCACGGTGAGTTTAGGAGAATGGCAGTGGAATAACTGGGAGCGAGCTGGTTTGTGCTGGTTTGTGCTGGTTTGTGCTCTGTTCTGTAATCTTTGCGCAGTGCAGGGCTTCGTAGTTTGAAGCACTGGGAATAAAGTCTTTGTGCGAATGCAAAAACTCAGGTCACCTGAGTAGCATCTTTAAAAAATGCTCATTGCTGCTTCTTGGAGGGATGGGATCTGTTCCATTGGTCGATTTGTTTGTTAGCAGTCTAGTGCTCACAGTCTAAGATGTTCAAGTTTTGCATATAACAGCTCAAGTTGCTAACACTGGATGAGGGTATTTATTAACCTTCATTGACAGCGCCAAAGGTCAGAGAAATGCGTATGCAATGCTTCAAGGTCAAAGGTCAGACATCGGTTTAGCGCTGGCTCTTTGGGGGGAGCTGTGCTTTTGTTTTTTTTTAAAAAATAAAATAAAATCAGGCTGTCTTGCATTATGAAAATCAGTATCACATATTTTACATTTTCACTGAACCTGAACTGTAACTTGTTAATGAGTTTTCGGCTGCAGGAGGGAAGTGTGTCAGTGCTGTCTGTGTGTAAACCTCCTGCATGTCCTCCACAGGAGTCAAAATCTGTGACGCATACAATGCAGTCATGGAGTACGTGAAGAAAGAGAAGCCGGAGCTCGCGCAGAAGCTGACCAAAAACCTCGGGTAAGTACCCACAGGGGCTTTCTTCTCTCGGACGTCCTCAAATTCAGAGCACTTATGTCCGTTTCCTTGTTGTAGTTTTGCGATGGGGATCGAGTTCAGAGAAGGGTCGCTGGTTTTGAACGCCAAAAATCAGTACAGACTAAAAAAAGGTGAGACTGTTGACTGTGTTAAGCACACAGGTGGTTTTATGCATTAGT